CGTACGCGTTGTCTATGGGATAATCGCTCGTGTCGAATCGAGCGATATCACGTTTCATCGTCTCGTAAACATCCTCGCACTCGAGATGGTATATGAGACTGTCCGTGTCGGTGTACATGACCTTGCATTTGTCGCGGTACAGCGGCAACATGTACTCGTGGTAAAATTCGTACAGGCAGACTTTCGATACTTCGAGAATACACATACCCACGTAAATCGGTTTGTAGAATTGTACCTTAAGTTTACGCAGTTCGACGGCGATTAAATTTTCCGCGAAAACGCTGCGGCTGTGAAAATTTGGTTTCGCGATCAGCGCCTCCGCGCCGTGTCTACCCTCCCATGTCGTCGCCATCTCACGTCGACGTGCTTGCGCACGTTCTCCATGGTCTTACCGAATACAGCGTTGTTCATTAGTTTGTACAGATTTTTTTCGAAATCGTTCCTAGCTTCGGTTCTGAATTTCGTATTTAGTTCAATGTATTCGCGAAGCCATGGAGATTGCGCGAATTGCAACACACGGTGAATTTTCGTTACGCGAAGGCCGTGGCGAGTGCATTGCTGTAGGTTGCGGTAGTAGATGGCATAACGGCTTCTTATCGTTAAGCGTCGCGAGGAGCTTATAGTGCCGCGTGCCGAGCGGTTTATCGCGCGTCGGGCAGAAAGGTAGGTTAGTGTGCCGTTCGTGTAGATATTGAGAATACTCTAGATCGACCTCTAGAATATACCTCGTGGGCGAATCCGAAGCGATCATGCCCCAGTCAAAGTTCTCGGCATCGTCGACCCATCGAAAGTCGGCGTAGGGCAACGGCTGACACATCGCCCAGCCGTACAAATTGTTCACGTCGTAGTACATTAGGTACGACGACGGTTTCGACAGGTCGTACGAAGACATGTACTTATTGTTGGCCCGCGCGTATCTGTTGGAACATTGACTGAGGCCACCGCATATACCGCGCTCGATAAACAAGACCATATCGATGTCGGTGAGCAGTTCGAAATTTACACGCGTGTGTTTCAGCATGGCATCCCACGTGAAAACCCGGCAACGTAAAATAATGCGCGGGATCGAGTCCGTAACTCACGACGCAGCTGTCGTGGAAATTTTCAAAAACCTCAGCGAGCAACAGGACATCCGTTTTCAGGTACAGATCGCTGTACTCGCTGAGCGTTCCGATGGAGAACCGCTGCCACACGTCAACGGCGTGCTCGTAATCGCTCTCGGACACGGTGTCGCCCGTCAACGAACTGTGAAACGATTCGCGCGGCGGTAAACACGTATCCTCCAACTTTTCAAAGCGGTCGACGTACTCGTACGGAAATACGCCTTTTCTAGTGAGAAGCTCGAAATGTTCCGCTGGTAGAGCACAAAATTCGCGTTGCATTATCCGTAGTTTATCTTTCTCGAGATAAGATGCCAATTTCTCGAGACTCGAACTGAGAAATTTGAACGAGTCGATAAAGCGTAATGTTACGCTGGTTCTATAATCTTTTTTTTCCATTTCCGTGCCATTGACCGTTTTCGTAAACGCGATGTACTTCTCTTTCGTTACCGGAAGTAGGTTCACGTGTCCCTCGTACGCGGTAGCTACTTCCTTGATAATGAAATGCGCGTCGTAACCGGATAGATTGTGAAACACCACGGGAATGCAACGTGAATCTTTGTAGTTTAAATTGCAGTTGGAATGCGCGGGACCTCTGTATCGTCCGGTCATGTGGCAGTGATCCCGTACCCGCGTGTCTTCCGTCGCGAACGGTTTTTCGCATATGTGACAGTACGTAGCGTTGTTATATCTGTCGTATTCGTCGCGCGTCAATTCTGCCATCGGAACGTTAACGGACAGAGCGGACTTTACTTTGTGTGCCAATTCTTTGAGTTCCTCCACGAACCACGCGACGCAATCCTTATCGCGACGACACCGATACATCGATAGCGCGTCGTTGTACGAGCAGTGCACATAGTATCCGATACTGTGTACCTTGTGGTGTTGAGATTCAGGCAGATTCGGGTCCATCTTCTCTAGAACGCACTCCAGGTCGGCGTACACGACGAACGGAATACGTTCCTTGTTGCCGTGTTTGCCGAACGTTAGCCATTTCGCGTCTTCTTTCGGCAGCTCTACCGCACACTCGTTCAGCTCGTTGCAGTCCACGGTGTGAGCATCCAGTCGTTCCTGCGAGCTGAAGTAATGTAGGCATCTGTAAACACAAAATACTTTACTTAATTTTTGTCTGTTTTACAACATTCTATTTTAGTATTTTCTCGATACGTACCGATCGCAGAAGAATTTCTTGTTCTTCTTCTTGCTGAGTTGAGAGCTCACGAGGCGGGACAGATTTTTTATCCACGCGAAGTGGCCGATGCTGCTGTCTCGTGGATCCTGCATGTGCAACAGGTTGACATGCCTCTCCATCTTTCGACCGGTCAATCGTATCGGAAGAACAGATAGTTCACCTCCCTCCTTCTCGATACAGTAAACGTTTATCGACACGTCGTTCACACGTTCGAATTTCGTAATGTCTTTCAGAGTCATCGGAAACTCGATACCCGCGAACTCGAGCACCGTTGCGTAATGCGGATACGACGACTCTCGATCCGCGTGTCTTTCCACGGGGTGCAGAGCGGCGACCACCGACCACGCGAAGCACGCGTTGTCCTTCGAGCGCACGTTGACCACCGCTCGTTTCGTCGCTATCTCCCACGGCACTTCGACGTAGCATCCCGCGTGCATCGGATTGTGCTTGTTCACGTTTACCGTTAAATTGAGGATTCGCGACAGCGCCCACCCACTGTCGCGCTCCTCAAACTCGCCGAACTTCGTCAACGTGGCTTCGACGACATGCTTCTCGTACCACTCGCGCACATCCGACGTTCGATAGAGTTCCGCGTTTCGCGAGGGTATGCCTATATTGGCGCGTTTGCCACCCGACGTAAACTCGCCGTTGAACGCAGTGTTCGCCTTCACGCTACCGTGTCTCTCTATGGCGTCTCGCACTCGCTCGAGCACTGTATCGCCTGCGTCCTCCAAAAATCGCTGCGGCTCGATATAATCCTTGTTAATTACCGCACCGGTCAGAACGCGATTGTGGGACGCGGTATCGATCTCTCGCCAAACGAGTCTCGCACTGTGTCCGGCGCCCACGTGCACGAATCGTCTCTCCACTCGCACCCTTTCACCAGCGAATCGCGCGATCCTCGCCACTGCGGACTGTCTACTTCCGGCGGCGAGCCGAGGACGCTTGACGCGACAGAGTTCTTCGAGCCGCTGGATGCACTCGTCGCATCGTTGCAACCACGTAAAACACTCCGCCAAAGTGGCGATCTGGCGACTCTGCTCCAGCAGTTCATTTTCCACTCGCTCGAGACGTTCTATGATTTTATCTATATCACGTCGCACTCTTCCACGAGACACTTGCACGTAATTTGGCGACACTGTTGACACGTTCGGTCCATATTTAGAACGCGGTAATCCTCCAACTCTTCGCCTTCCTGATACATGCACTCTTTTCGAAGAACGGTGCACACGTTGCAAAAAGTATCGTCCAGCTCATCACGTTCGTCAAATTCACGATCCCACTGCAGCCAGCGCTCGTCGATCTGCCGTTTTACAGTGGCGGGATACTTCCACTCGCCGTAGATATATAGGCTTATCACTAGCAACTCGACGTACCTCTCGCTACCCACGGGAATCGTAATGCACAGATTATGGTTATACTCGAGCATCTCGACGATTCGCTTCGCCCAGTAGTACTTGTTCTCCACACGACTGAAATCTATATACAGATTGTTCCAGATTTCTTTGTTCCAGATTTTTTCGTTCCGAAGATCGCACACCTCGTGACATCTTTCATAGTCCTCGTACGCTTTCTCGCGAAACCACGCGTACACTTTTCGTTTCGCGTGACTGGGCCACTTACGACGGGCTCTCGGTCGACTGTGACTCCCTGTCTCGCAAAGCGTTTACCAGTTCCGCGTATTCCTAGTTCCCGATCGCGTAAAAACTGCATCGGCGATACGTGTCGCACATCGGTCTCTCCATGTGAATCACGGAGAACACACAGGACATCGAACTCCTCCCAGCTTATAACCCTTACCCTCTTCATGTTTCGTTTGCGCTAATGTTTTTACGTGCTCTGATTCGTGCACATTGGACACATACTGCAAGGAATTATCACATACATCCTCACACGACAGTATATTGGAGCAGTATTGGCCACTTAGCACTTGTTCGTAATCGATCTTGTGCTTCAACACTAGATTCATTATCACCGTAAAGCTAAGTATTCCTCAGCTCAATTATGCAGGAGGCCAGAGCACCGGTTGAATAGTAGTACTGGATCATGCAATGCTTGGTACGCTGGGTCAACGCACGGAGTTCCGCCTGCGACACGTATCTCTCCCTGTTCAACGTTAGATCTTCGCTCTGATCACTAACGACACCCGTATCGGATGACAACGTGCCTTCCGATTCATCCTCCACATCAACTTCAATGTCTTCGCGCACTCTATTCGCACGATGAGTCATTTGACACACTCTTTGACCGATTCGTTAGACTTCCGAGGTACCTTCTGTGACACCGCGCACTTTTAATGACCTCTTATACCTCTCGCCGTTTCTTTGTCTAAATCATTTGTCGTCGCATTTTCGTTAAACCTAAACAGCAGCCGTATATCGGCGCTTCTCTCAATGGCCTCCTCTTCCCCTTATTATTATTATTATTATCTGACGGTGTCATGTAGAAAAAAGGACCGCCGATGTATACATATATACACGGGAGTTGGTCTCGATTCGTCATTTTGCTAGAGCGACAAGTCTCAGTTCGTCATTCAGCTGCGAACCGAAATGTACCGAACCAAGTGGTCGCCGTTGCCATCGTTGTCGTCGTCGTCGTCGTCGTCGTCGACGACGTCGTCGCCACCACCGTCACCATCCCCATTGGTACCGTCCGATGACGAAGACATTATTGCAATGTACAACCTCTTGCAGAGGTGCATTTTACGAGTAAATATAACTAATCTAGAGAGGCTATCTGTCTAGAGAGATATCTTTTTTATTCTTTTTATTTATCTGTCATTAGGATCCCCCAATGTTTTGCTGCGCGAACATCAACGCAACCGCGAGCAGCGATGCCGCGAGCAGTGGTGCCACGAGCAGCGGTACCGCGAGCAGCGACCCTGAACGCAGAGCCATCGAGCACCGCATCGCGAGTATTGACGACGCTGTATTCGAGGAGACATCTACGTGCCTCCCTTTAAATGCAACATTCGAGGAGGCGTCATACCTTCCCACAATTTCAAACGCCCCCGCATCTTAAGGCGAAGGGGCAGGAGGAACGAAAGGCACCACAGGCAATTCCCAATGAAATCGAGGGGACACCGTTCACCCCGGATGCATTCGCATCTTCCCGGAAAGCGTTAGTCGCGACGATCCCCCTGGCGTTCGAGGGAACATCTCAGGAAGCGAATGTAACTTTCTCAAACGGGAGACATTTTACTTTACACATATATATTTTATTGTATCACTTTTTTATAACAACGTTAAATTACGTTTTTTATAATACTTGTTTTTTATTTTCATTTAATACTTGTAAACATATATATTTGTACATTTAATCCTTTCCATGGCGGCGCGAGGGAGACCGCGTGCGCGGGAGCGCGTTAGGGGCGCGTGCGTACGCGTAAGCGAGAACGCGCGGGAGCGAGAGCGCGCTACGGGCGCGCTATGCGTGGGAGAGAGAACGCGCGGGAGCAAGAGCGCGCTACGGGCGCGCTATGCGTGGGAGAGAGAACGCGTTATGTGTGAGCGCGCTATGGGCGCGGGAGGACGGCGGGGGGCGCGCAACCCTCCCCCCGCGAAAAATCCCCCCACACCATAAATCATCTCGGCAATGCGTGATGTCATCCCCCCCTCGCTCATATTATCAAAGAGCCCGCCGCCCGCTAATTGTTTATGTAAACATACATAGCCCATGTTTAAACATACATGGCCCATGTTTATATAAACATCTCGGTGGTTACCCCCTGTGACATCATTCCCCCGCGCAAATTCCTCCCCGCCCCTCACCTCCCTCGGAGCTCCTGGGTTAGAACCGGCCTATACATACTACTAACAGTCAGACGGCTTTTTGACGGGACTAACACCGTCAGACGTGATCAAAATGACAATATTACGCGCGCGGCCCGTGGCTGCGCGGGCTTGCGCTACTCTCCATCCTGGGTTTCTGTTGCACAATTTTTACATGTAATAAAATAGTATTAATTTAAAAATATTATTTTTTGATAAAAGTGAGAAAAAATATATTTAATATAATTATAAACAATAAATCTTGATTTATATTTAGAAATTATAAACTGTTTTCACAGTAAGAGAAACGGCCAAATGCGGTTTGAAGCGGATCTTAATAATATTCATGTGTGAATTTTTTACAATTTCCAGTTCAAATAAACTGCGCGCCGAGCATTTTGTCGGGCATTAAAAACACAGTTCTAAGCTGAATCCGGAATACGTAATATCACAATTAACAAGCAATTTAATAATTTTTTATGCTGAGGAGCATCTTTTTAATTCCTGCAAGGTAATTTATTGCGAAAAATATTATCTCAGCCAGGATTTGAACCAGGACCTGAACCTTCCAACTTTCCGGGCAAGCGTCTTACTGTTCGACTACCGAGACATGTGTAATATTTATCGCAATAATCAGTAAATGGAAAGAACGTCTACTTTCAGGCGACGTATAAGTGAACATTAATATGCCTAAACGAGACTGCGAAATATTCAACAATAAGAGAAACGGCAAATTGTCGTTTTTTCAAAATATTAAAAAACATAGTCAACACAATGTTATAAACATTAACTTGTTTATGATATCTTTATGTTCTCATTACTTTCGATATGTTCTCTGTTACATAAACTAGTTTGAGCGTTTCAGTCGACGAGTGAAAGTAGTGAAATTTTATGTTCTTGGAAATATGGATGAGTCACTTCCTATTCGCGTATTTTGCAATAGTAAAAAAGAAAACGTGATTTTTTTCTTAAAACAGATGCTTGAAAAGTGTAGAATTTTTCTGCAAATTCGTTAAGAAAATAAATTAAGCTAACGTCCCTTTATCGTCAGTTCCAAACAAGATTCAAGGTTATCATGTGCAGTGTTATAGAAAATTTACCGCTTTGGGAAAAAAGTATAGAGAATCTTTAATGCAGACTAATACTGAAAGAAGGTAAGGCAATAAAATCATGAGTAAGTTGCAAGTTGCAAGTTGTTGCAAGAGTATTATACAATATTATATTGTCTACGCCCGCGTCGTTCGATGTACCAGCCATGATGTAAAAAGACAAGGTGAACCAACTTGAGAGATGCGCAGTAGCCAATTTGGTTAACCAATCAAAATCCTGTCCAAAATGCAAAAAGCAATATGGCTGACTGCATGACACGCGGTTAGATTTAACCGCGTGTCATGCAGTGTCAAATGGTTAAGTTTGATTGTGTCAGCTCGTCGAATCGTGAGTAAAAAAGAAAATAACAAAAAAAAGTAATCTGCCATTTTAAAGAGAGTAGGTAAGTAAAAAAAATATCTATTAATGTAAAATTATATTATAATTAAATTGTGTCAAATATATATATAAATATAAATACATATTTCTGCAAAAGATATAATCGGCAAAGGTATTAAAAGATCCCGCAACTGTCCCTCTGTGACAACTGCCGTTATTTCGTCGCACGGAGTAGCTCGTCGGAAACGG